ACTACCTTGTGACCCAATTTCATTGACCTCGGTCAAACCGATGACGTCACAGGTCAGGTCAAAGGTCGAATTTTCACCGTTTACAGGCATTTCAAGAAATGCGTTGTAAAATCGTGTAAGATGCATTTCATTGAAAATCATCCATGGGGAAATGTTCTTCAAACACATATTTTGCTATTTGAGGTCACTGATACCAGGTCAGGTCACAGAGGTCGGGTCACTGGGGGGTCACAATATGAAAGTGTCGTGTGATACATGTTTTATGGTCCATTTTACATGACAAATGCGATTATGTGGGTCAGACAGACTTAAGGGCCAGCTTAGGTCACGTTTTGGTCAAGGTCAGGTCAAGGTCAGGTCAAGGTCAGGTCAAATTAGGTCAAATTTCAAAGTTGATATTTTTGCACAAAATGGGTATCGATTCGATGCAGCTCGTCACGGGGAGTTCAATAGTGGTCTCCGTTTTGCGCTACGAGGTCTAGAATTGCTAAAAATTGAGTTCAAAAATTTGACGTCATCAATTTTTAACAGTTTTTTCGCTATAACTTGGCCAAAAAAAGAGATATCGATCTAAAATTTGGTATGTATATCGAAGAGCGCAGGGACTATCACATATATTCCGGTTTTTTCGAAATTCGAAAAAATTTTGGAATTTTTTTGAGTTTTACTAAAAAAATCAATTTTTTTGATTTTTGGGGGTCAAAATCCAAAAATTTCGAAAATCCGAGATAGCAGTTTTGTAGCGCCATCTTTTCTCTACACAACCACATAAAGAACTTTAAAATTGCTTGTTAACTGTAGAATTGGTGAGCGTTTCAAGATGTCATGTTTTTTGCTCATTTTTACTCGAACATGACCTCAGTTTGACCTCAATAACTCCTGACCTGAGGTGACCTGTGACTTGAAATTTTGTGTGAAGGTGTCAAATTGATGTCCGGTAAGGTACCCAAAATTTGGCGGCGCTGCGCGCCGCCGTTTTCTCGCTATTTAAGAAAAACCACAGGGGGGGCCAAAATGGCCCCCCCCCATCAGGGCGCGGGTTAATCTAAGGAAAGACTACGCTCGCTTCGCTCGCTCCGTAATGATATTTTTTGTACAGTATATGTCCGAATAACGACGACACTCTCCACAGGGAGTACAGAGGTGCAGCGGCCGTCAGCCAGGTGTTTGCAGATCTTCCGGATCAGTGACTCCCTGCTGGACGGCGGCGATCGGCGCGCAGGACATGCCACCGGCGGCCATGTCGCTCCGGTTCTCTGGACGCTGACCAGGCCCAGGCGTGTCTGCGGCGGCGGGCGGCGCGGCGGCGGCGGCCGGCGAGACTCGTGGTCATCGGCGACTCTCGCAGCCGCATCCTGACGGAGCAGCTGCGCGTGTTCCTCCAGTTGGGAAACGGCACTGCCATTAGGGACGTGCGCCTCGAGGACATCCCGCCGGGTCCGCTGCAGCCGCTTCTGCAGCACAGCACAAGGGACGCATGCGTCCAACAAGAGGCGAGTTGCAGCAGAACCATGAGAAATGACGTACTTATAGCAGAGTACTGGCGGCGGCCGTACATTTACTCGCTGTTTCTGCAGAAGCTGAGAAAGCTAGTGACTGAGTGTCGAGAGAAACCGTCAGAATGTCCCGATCTCGTGGTGATAAATAGTGGTATGTGGTACCTTCGTGTGATACCAGTCCAACTGCCAATTGAAAAATCAAAAATAGCTTGGACTCTAAAGATGCGAGAGCACGTGAGCGGCGTCGAACAGGTACTAGCTCAACTGGTGAAGGAGACCACGGTAGTGTGGCGACTGGAGGAGGCCATCACCTCCGACGTGACACGAACGCGCAGAAAGTCGGACTACCAGAGAAGGTTGACAGCTTCACATGCATTCTTCTACGAGCTACAGACTAAGGTGAGAATCTCATCATGCAGGGTCACGCAGAGACACTGGCGAATCTGCAGTCGCACGGATTCAACCTCTCTGATCTTCTTAACTTTCGACACTTTCGGTAATGATAGTAGGTATGGTGTGTGTATCGAAAATATCGTAGCAATGTTGACGGACAAAAGAGAAAACGTACGAGCACCACCCTCATATCAAGTCTGATTAGGTTCATTAAGTCGTATGAGAAACGTACGATCCCATTTTTGGGCATGCTTTTTAGCCCGCGACTTACCGCAGAATGGGCGATTTTGATTTTTTTGCTGTGTCCTTATAGGTAGGCATATAGGTATTGTGATTATAGGTAGGCATGAAAGCGGCGAATGGCTATGTTATCCCCTAACACAGAGATGCTTTCACTTTTCTCACATCGCGTTGACGCATGCTCGCGGAAGGAGTCAAAGATAATTAAAAAAGCGATCTTTGCATTTATCCATGCAATTAGCAGCATAAATGCACTGGAAATGCATGACCAGACTAAGTCGGAAGGATTATAAAATTTTAGCACCTTAATTGTTCTTACGGCTTTGATTTATCTTAAAATTAGGGAGGGAGAAAAGGAGACAAAAATGACGAAGGAAATGACCAGCTTACGACTTACGAGTACCTATGCCTGTATGTATATTGTATATGTATATGCTAGCGTAGCTGCTAATTGGCGCGCGAAAGCAAATGACAGAACTGAGAGCAGCGGGACTAGCAGCAGTGTCGGTGCACCTATCTGCGTGTTACGATTATTGCAAAGTAGAAATCTTGTAATGAATATCTTGTATTGTCCAGTGAATTTTGACGTTTAGCACTCCACGCGCATACAATGCGTGCATATGCATGATACGCATCCTGAAAATTTATGTTTTGGAAGGGTTCAAAGGCGTAGATTATGCTGATAATGATGATGATGATGATGATGATGATGATGATGATGGCGATAATGATATAACACATTCTCATTCATTTCAGGTGGATGGACTTGTATTGTGGGCATCCATGCTTCCAGAGACCTTCGATTTTTCCCAGCGGGTCTGCGGCTCAGTTAAGAACTTCACAGACTCTGACGACCCAGCTATCAAGGATATAATTAATCAGTGCTGGGACGAAATACACGTGGGTCGCTCCATGCGACAGCGATTTGTCTCCAAAATGTTGGATGTGTTTTGCGAGCTTGATGGCGACAGGGATGCAGGACACTGCTGTAGGGGATAAATTGGCTGGAATGTTTAACAACAATGCAATGGCTTCGCGCAGAATGGGCCGGCTTTACAGTTTGATATAGCTGCTTTACTATTTTTACTATTTTTGATACGGCTTTACTATTTGATACCTATATAGAGCCGTCACAGGTAATGACTATGTCATTAATCGGACATCTCACTGCCTCAACTTGTCCTTTTCAAATGCACACTTGGTTGAGGTTCCTGTGCCTAAGTCGATGGTAAATAAATTCTACGTCCAGTGGTTTTTGTCCAATCACAATCAGTTCATAAACATGGTTACAGTTTACGTTGATATCCAATTGTTTATCTTTTGGGGTTTTAGAAGTTCGTTCAATAAAATTGTTCGTTCATCATGGGATTATTTTTTTCAGTGTTACAGTTTCAAAAAAAAAACTTGCATGGAGGCAAACAATGGGTTTTAATCCATGAAGATTGGCTAGTAATTTCTTGCTACAAACTGAGCATCAAAATCCATAAAAAGGGCTGGACAGCTGAAGCTCAAATCGCACGACTGATGGCCGATGGGTCATAGCTCAGGTCATCAAATACAGCACAGCTGTCCATGAGATATGTTGTAAGTGGTTATCTTTCATCCCAAATGATGGGCAGATTTTTTAAAATTTTGGACACCTTCCAGTAGGGTAGGGTTGGGCAAAGCGCCCACCCTTACTTGTCAGGCTCAGTATCAGACATCCAGGTACCAGACTCGGTAGTCCAGTATCTGTCTTTCTTCGAATACCTAAAGGATCAGAATCATGTGGCATGGGCGGTTTTTAAAGTACGACGTCGTCGGGAAAACTGCAACTCGGGCGCCTTGCCCCACCCGTGGGGCATTTATGCCCTTATGAGTGGAAATGACGCGCCCAGTTCATCCACTTGCTATTTTAATCAATTTAATATAGTTTATCTATCTTTCATTTCAGTCGACCTTACATCGGCAGGTGACAATATTAAAACATATTTGGCTCTACCGTCACCTTACTTGTCCAGCAAACACCCGACATTGTCTCGTGGAGCGAACACACCTTCCAGACAATTTCGTACGAATTAATCGTTCCAGGCCAGAAATTTAAATCAGTATATTGCATACTGAATAAGCAGCATGAGCATTAGGAACGTGTACGGCGGCTCACATCGAGCCAAAACACTTGCAATTAGTCATGCGGTATAACGCTCATTGAAGGGTAAAACGACCATGATGGGTCGATTTGCCTATTGTATTGTATTGTATTGTATTATATTGTGTTGTATTTACGACCATGGGCGATCCACGCATGGCGTGGCGATGGGCGCCTCACACCCTAGTGGGCGTATTATCTCAACAGCACATTCAGGACCAATTTTACCAGCCCGACATATGCTTAGTGAATGTTTAACAAGCAACAAAATGCTCAATATGTAGCTTCCATCCACAGGTTTGGCAAAGCTAAATTTCGTGGCTTAATTCAAACTGCACATTAAAGTTTTAGCAGCAAAGAAAGCATCAATTCCAGAAGAAAAATCGGCAAAAATGTACCTACTCATCCTTGTCTTAAGTTCAGAACTTCCGACATACAGATGCGAAAAGGAGAAGCAAGCAGGATCCCCATTGTTCTTGAAAATGGCTATTCAGTAGACATGTTATAACATGTCAAGCATCTCACACTTAGTAATAGGGGTGGGCGCTTTGCTTCACTCTACCCTTACTTGGTACTTGGTGCCCTTTGAAGCCATAAAAACCCGTTGTTATGTTCAGCTTACCAAAACAGCACAAGATGGCACAAGTACGTACCAGACGCCGCTAGTCTGTCTTCTTGTTTTATCTTATCTCATTGTACGCATTTACATAATTTTACATTTCATTTGAGTTGACAGATCATTCATTGTCGATGCATGTATATTGTATACCAAAACAATATAACACCTGTTGAAAGTCGATACCTTCATTAAAGGAGCTATATGTGTTGAATGAAATATGTTTGTATCATTCCCGGTGCAGCTTACATTAGTGCTTATTTTATGTTTTTGAATGAACTATTAGTATGCCCAATACGTGTGTATGTATTCAAACCATGACGAGATGGAATAAAAATCGATGCAACATCTAGCCGGTTCCGTACTGCTCTTTGTAACCTGGTGTTCATGTTACCCTTACTATAGTTCAGATGGAAATATATCGTCATTGAAATGTGGACGGACAAATACTCGAAATTCGTGACTGCCTAACTGAGGCAAATATCAGCGCTTCGCTTTATCTGACAGTACCTATGTTGAGAACCTACTTTATATGGCGGAACTCGATTAAATTCAAAACATTTTTTCGCTCTCACAGTGGCTGCAATGGACTCTAATTAGCATGAATGACGATGAAACACTGGAAAAACAGACGCACAAACACACAAACACAATAAACATTTGATGTGTGCTCCTGACATACACACCAAATGGTGTCCGACCGTCGCTGGCGCTCCTGGACTAATTCTGCAGCAGGGCGCCGAACTGGTGGTAGAGCGTGAGGACGCTCCTCTTAAGCGGGTTGACCAGCAGGTAGAGGAAGTTCTGTGGATGGTCCGCCTCTCGCGGGATCAGATCGCTGCCATCCTCCGACTTCGCCGTCACTTTCAACACCTGGCTGGTTACGCGCAGGCCGACAGAATCGCTACTCTTACAAACGCTGTGGAAAAAATAAAACTGTCGTTATGGGCGGCTCGAACCAACCAAAGGCTGGTGGACGTCTAACAACGTTCAAATTTTCAAAAATTGATTTCAAGTGAGTTCCCTAAAGGGTCCTGATAGTCGTATAACTTCATAAACGTTCAGCTGCAACGCCTGAGTGCCCTTATCCTTTTCTGACCTTGGCGCCTAATAGCCGTTTTGGCCAAATCTGCGCCTAATCTGCACCAAACGTGCACCAAATGTGTACCAGATGGCCGTCGTGAAAACGGTTAATTGTCACCAATCATGTTTCACCCAGAAGCTATGAGCTTATCATTGGGCCATTGCTATTTGCACACAGCTTAGCCGTCACTCTAATTACAGTACTCTCGTACCTGACCAGCTCCTTATAGATGAGTTTGGTGACATCCAAGTAAGGCTGCACGTTGTCCTCGTACTGGCACCAGCGGCCGCCCAGTGCCAGGTGGCGGAACAGGCGGAACAAGAACTCGGACTGCTCCGCCTCCGTAAATACGTCCTCGTAGTCGGATTCACCACCACCCAGAAGCTGTGATGTAAAAAGTACAGACGCTAGAATCAGGGCTGTACCAGTATCGGAAACCTTACTGCTACCAACGGACATATCTAGCTCCTGTCCTAGTTCTCATGCCCAGGTGTTATGCTACCACGAGAGCTGAGACGGGATGGGGGCCCAACAGTCTGGAACGGGACTCCGCCGGTGCGACACGGCCCGGTGTCATATGTGATACGACGTGGCCGACGCGGTCTGACGATCACGAGTCTCAAATGTGACTCCGCCGGGGCGACACGGCCCGGTGTTACGACGTGGTCGACGCGGCCCGTGAACGACGTGCCGAGAACGACGAATTGCGACCGCCGTATTTTATCCATTTTAACCGTCTCGCTGTCAATCAAGAATAAACCTTTACAAACTCTTTTTGGTCCTCCGGTTAACGAATCGAACCGACTAAACGCGAGCTATTACGAACTATCCGCACGAATATTCTGGTCCTCCGGGCCGGATCTGAGTGAATGAGTACGAATAACCACGAACAGCTACATTGAACGTGCTTTGCGGAAGAGCAACAAATTTAATTCATTTGTTCATTGATGCATATTTCTCGCGTGTGGTGATTGTGTCACTGATCAGTGATCAATCACAAGCACTAGCCTAAAAGAAATGTTAAAAGAAAGAGAACCAGCAACGTGCTAAAACAACTACATATGTACTTGTTCACATAGGCAAATTGTTGAAATACCAAACGAATTTGCCAATGTACTGCCTTATCATTCAATCGTGCTTCTCAGTTTCAAATTCGATGCAGCTTAACCAAGCCAGGTAGCATAATGAAGAGTTCAACGCTAATAAAAGTGTTGCGACAGCACATGACTACGACAAAACTCGAATGATAAATAGGGATTATTAATGATAATACTCTTAAACAATGAAACAGCCACATACCTTTCTGAGCTCGTCAGCCAAAACCAAGTCGCCGAACCACTCCTCCATGCACTTTCTGATGTTTCCGTTGTCTCTGACGATACCGCTGTCGGTCAGCTTGTCGAACAGGCGCATTGTGGTCTCTGTGCACGGTACCAGCTCCACGGAGACGGAGGCCGCTGGCACCACTGCGCATTGAATAAGGATTGCGTGAATAAGGTGTCATGAAACGAATAAGGATTGCGCAATGTAAAAACTTTGCTACTTAGTAGGTACTTATATACATACGCAGAAATATATAAACGACGCTATGTAGAATGTCGTGTGCAGTATGAATAATGTTACATATACATACCTATTTGCCTATCAGATGCGACTAGAATTTGCCATGGCAATTTCTAAATTCATCGCCCAAGCATCCATTGCACCATTGTCACGTTCAGCACAGGCAATCAACAACAGTGTTGAGCTTCATGGCACCTAACCGAATTCACACGGCATTGCTAGTTCCACTCAACGGAGATGGGTATCTATATAGATATATTTTTATCACTGTAAAGCGTTACTTAAAAGAGGATTAAGTTTCACAATATTTGATCTTACAATAATACAAATAAGTGCAACAAAGAAAAATAAATGCAACATCATACGGTAACATTGAAGATAATGAGATACACTGTTATTCATATACTAAGCAAACTATGAAACCGCATGGTCGCATGTAGGGTAAGGTGCCTAATTAGCGTCTCCCTTTCCGATTTGCGACCTACCTCCCTACAGAAAAACTAGCAGGCGAAAACGGGGTAAAAATATCGTCAAAAGGTCAGCCATACTTTGGTTATCAAATTAAATTATTTTCCAGTCGTCGATGTTTCTGGTGGGACGTTTCAGGTGAGTTTAAATAAAAATGATGAGTTTCTTATCCATAACGTGTGTGTTTGGGCCCTCTCTGATGAAAAGCGATGCACATTAGGATGATGCACCTTTTTTATTCTGAATCGACGTTCCTTCTTCAATTGAATGCCGTTTTCCCATAGTGAATCGCTCAACTGTGCACAGCATGGCGGTTAAAAATGTGTCGCAACTCATATTTCCTATTTGCGCCTGACATGGTCGCAAATAGCTCAAGAAGGGAAAGAAAGGGGAAAAGAGAGAAATAAAAATGAGGTGTTGCTGAAGCTTGCAATGTGTGGCAGGGGATGCCAAATGTCGTCACCGACTGCAGGGGTGCCGAATTCAGCGCGGACCTCGAATATCATACGAGATAGCCCGCAAAATTTGGGTTTCCGCCTTCTTTTCGCCTTTCGGTGCATCACGTGATCAGTTTTTACTTCCATAAATGTGTTGGATAAACGTTCCTGTTCGAGTGATTGAGTGCTTTGCGTATAGGTTACCTTTTTGAGATCATATTTCATCTTTTCAGGCGTCGCATATTTTGCCATTTTTAATATGGGGAAACCCATAGACTTATTAGCGACCCTCCCCGTTCGCTAATCGGGAAGAGTTCCCTATTAGCGTTTTTTGCAATGGTTTGCCAAAATGCTCACTACAAGTAAGTTAGTGAATATTGGGGCAGAAAATGACTATATTTTAATAGAAAAATGAACGGTCTCTCCGAAAATCAAGCCAGTAATACAGTGGCACCCACAGAGCGTGAGCAATGACGGTTCAAATTAAGGGGGTCGCTAATTAGGCACCTTACCCTAATTCAGACTATAACCAGCGTAAACTGAGGGTACTATAGAGGCACTTACTCAACGGTGACCATTTGTTAGCTTCAGTGAGAACTTTCAAACTCGCCAGGATCGTAGGCTCGGTTAAAAATTCCTGGAAATGGTTCAACATAATCAACAACTTATAAAACACCGCGCTCTATTCAGGAAATGCCCTTATGCATCAAAGAAGTGCGAACATTAACCTCAACATTAGACGTCAATAGTTGGGATAGTTTCTCGTAAAAATGCGTGTTTATATCCGTCACTATTGCCGGCATTTTTGATATAGCTTATAGCAGCTGAAAAGATCACACACCTGCAAGATGTAAGATCTTTGCTCATTCAGCATTGTTCATAGGCACTGAGCAAGTGATATGTCGTAACGCAGCAGTGAAGACGGAAACACAGCACATTTTTAGGCATCTTGCAATATGCATAAAGGTGCCCTTCATGAGAAGTACCTCACCTGCACAAATTCGACCCGGTTGTGAATGTCTAGATGTTTGTCGTAACAGAAGGCCTGCACCGATATTCTGTCACGCAACGACCTGAGAAATAGTCAAATAGTGCAGCCTAAAACAAAACCAGTAGGTATATAAGTTACTCCCTACCAATTCATGAATATTCCGTCGAGGAAACAAGAAAAACAGCTGTTCCTTGCACCTCCGCAAGATGGTCCAACACAATAAAGGGTCCCTGAAAAGAGTTTGCACCACCATTCAATTATTCCGTGACCCCGAACAACAATCAGAGATTCAAAAACTATTAATCCGCAAATGAGCTATGTTCCATAATTAACCATACCGCGAGTGACTGAGGGGGCGGGGCTCTACAGTCGGAAGTCCCCCTGCTAGGGGGGAGGGGGTCGGATGGATTCCCCCTTGTTTTTTCGCGAATAACTCGCGCAAAAATCGGTCGATGGCATTCGCGACCAAACTTTCAGCACCCCAGAGTTGATCAATTTTACACCCACTCTGAAATGTTTATGACGCTGCCCTGAACCAAATGAGCTTTGACCTGAGACCTATTTCTCGAGACCATGTTTGGCCGGAATCGCGATTCGGCGTGACAGCAACATTGTCCGCACGTTTCCAGTCTTTTTACTATTGTAAACGTTCAAACGTGTGAAATGATGTTGGTTCCATGGACCATGCACTATGGTGGGTGTCAAGGTCAGGTCAAGGTCATTGACCTTTGATGACCTTCGTTCACTTTTTCGAGTTTTACATGCTTCTAGGTTAGTTTTTTGGAGCTAGTTTCGAATTAAGCATCCATATGAACATTAAGGAAGTAGTTTTAGCGCCATCGAAACATGTTACGACGCCGTCAGTGGTGGTTGACACCTACTACGGATAGCCGGCAGGACGCCTACTAATTTACCTGATCTGACCCAAGCCGACCTGGCAAAATGCATGAAGGCATCAGCTGTGATAAAACTGAATGAAAATCGTGATCAGCACTCCGAATAGCCCGACAACAGCTTCACTTTACGACGTTCTAGCAGCTTACGATTTCCCCCACTTTTGGGTGATTGACCCGACCTGAAAGGTCAACCAATGACTAGGACCTTAAAAGCTGGGTATCATCGGTTCCTCTCGTCACAGGTAGCTCGCTCGTTCTTTTCCGCGAAGTCCTAGCTCGATCAGGGGCCGAACGGCAGGGGAGGGGGGGGGGGGCAATCGATAACACTACCTACAAGTTAGACGCTGTAAAACGCCGCACACAGGCGTGAGGGTTAATGCACCTTCTTTCGCTGCATTGCGCAAATGAGACATCTCATAAGACGGTGATGGTACAATTATAATAGGCGACTTGGCTTCTTCGTGCTTACCACTTCATCAGGCACTCGGATGCGTCCTTGTTTTTCATGAAGTTCCATTCCTTTTGGGGCATCAATCTGAACCTGTATGAATCAGGCTTTGCTTCCAACCCCATCTTGAGGCTGTGGACAAAACGATTTGCTATACATATGTAGTCAACAAAAATTGCATGCCGTCCACGCGGACCGCAGTAAAATATGCATAAGGGATTACATCCGAGGATATATGCACTCTGCTCGGGATTGTCACTGAGGGTCCGGCGCAGCGCCATCTAAGGCCACTGTGGACACCTTCCTATCATCCAAATCATACCAGTCAAACCAAAAGGCAAATAGACTATGCTGATATACCCTGATGTCACGGGGGCACACGGACGGGGGTCTGAGCCAAATGCTGGGCCAACTTCTCACCAATGAGGGAAGGGGGCCATGCCCCGGGTATTTCAAAATTAAGCGAAAAACGGTAGGAGGCAGGACTGCGGAGTCGATGGATTTTAGGGTGACTCCGACTCCGACTCCGACTCCGGCTTCAAAAATCGACTCCGACTCCGACTCCAACTTCGACTCCGGACGGTTCTATTAAATCCATATCATGATGTTGAAGCTCATAGGTAGGTAATGGAGATGTTGTTATCTTGCCTGAAACGATCCCTTGTGCGTTCCACGGCTTTGCGCTGCAAATATGTAGGTATTAAAAAATGCAGAATTAAAAATAGGTTCTGGGGAATTCACCGTCTTCTGCTTCTTTCACTGAAAACGTTCGTCGAAAGCAGCAAAATGACCTTTTTCGACAAAATCCCTCACATGGACGCCGTTGTGGTGCCTCAGACACTGGTGTGGCGCTAAGCCCACACCATTCACAGCACAGATGGCTGTGTGTGGGGCCCTTGGAGTTGTTGGTGCGAAATGCGAATGCTTAATAACCCAGTAGGGCCTCTCAGAGACCGACAAAGGACCCTCAGAGGCCGGTAACGGGCCGTATGATGCCAACAATGGGCCTTTACAGGCCGGCAAGTGAGGGCCGGCAGTATCTTCAGGAGCCCTGTGGAGTTCTTAGAGATCGGCATGGTACTCTCAAACGCCGGTGGGGCCCTCAGAGTCACCGGTGTAGGACCTACAGAGTTACCGGTGGCTGGCTGCCAGCGGCACCGGTGTGGGGCCCAGAGGCGCCGATGTGGGACCCTCAGAGTCGCCGATGTTGGGCCTCAGGCTGGTGTCTCAGGTGGCGGTGTAGGGCCCTCAGACGTGTCTGTGTGGTGCCCTCACAGTCGCCGGTGAAGACTTTCAAAGGCATCGTTGTGGGGGGTCCTCACTCCTCAGAGACACATGCATGGGGACAAGGAGTCTTCAAGAGACCAGCAAGGGCCAGCAGAGGCCTTCAGGAGCCCTGTGGGATCCTGGAGACCGGCGTGGTACTCTCAGGCGTCACTGGGAGGCCTCAGAGTCACCAGTGTGGGGCCCACAGAGTTGCAGGTAGGTAGCCGTCAGATGCGCTTGTGTAAGACCTTCAGAGGCGCCAGTGTGGGGCCCTCAGAGCCACCGCCGATGTAGGGTCTTAAGAAACATTGGTGTTAGTCCCTCAGATTGGCGTGTTGGGCCCTCAAAGGCGCCGGTGTGAGACCCTCACAGGCGCCGTTATGGGCCCTCAGACTTCAGAGACACTGGTGTGGAGCCGTTCCATGCGGGTATGGGCCAGGACCCTTATTAGAGCTGACGCTTAATAGGTCAGCAAGGTCACTCAGAGGCCAGCACAGGGCCCTCAGAACTCAGAAGCCGGAGTGGGGCCCTTATGGAGATGTGTGATGTGTGGCGACTCAGGAGCCCGTGACTCCGTGAGGTGCTCTCACGAGTCCTGCGGGTTTTATCTTGTCGAAATAAGGCACGCTTGGACCCTGAGCGGCCAATTGGCACTGCAGGGCCTCTCGGGCCCATAGGTCACCATGCATCTAATGAGGCGGAACGCGCCCCTTGTGCCCGCCCCCCCCCCCCCCGGTTACGATGCACTGGCTGCGGCCATACAGGTAAATCATATTCTAACCGTCCCTATTCCCAAGCATAGGCGGCGGCCGATTCCTGGTTCGGCACCGGCAGTCAGTCCGGGCGACCTTCGCACCAACAGGGAGGGGGAGTAATGGATACCCGTCACCCCTAAGATCTCGAAAACGAAGCCAACTAGCGGCAAGCGGTAAACGGCACTCAGTGGCGCGGGAGCCGGGGGGGGGGGGGCTAGCGGGGGCTGGGCCCCTCCAGCTTTTCGGCTGGAGGGGGGCCGGGGGGGGGGGGGGGGCTCGTAATGTATTTGAGCCACCCAGCTGGAGGAATCGAAATCGGAAATCTACCGACATAATTTCATAGATTCGACAAAGCTCACTCAGGCCATTTTCAGGTCAGATAAAATTGACGTCTCAGGGTCAAAACTCAAAAGTTGACCTCAGGTCACGTAACCTCAAGGTCAAAATACATATCGTCCGATTCGTCTTGACAAGCTGAACACAATGAGCTCACCCGTCTTGACGACGACGGCGGTTACCGAGAAACCATATGGCCTTGGAGAAACCTGCGAGAAACCCAAGCGAGAAACCAGGCGAGAAACCCGGAACGAAACCACCTCCAGTCCCGCCCCGGACGGACTCACGGTTGTCATGGAAACGCTGTGCTCCCGGAAACTCAGACTAGTGGTGTATAACGTATGGCACAAGACTTCAGCCAGAGTTATAAACGTATTGTTAAGAAAATGGAAAAGTAGCCAGTCATTTTGATTTATTTAACAATACACCCACTAGCTATGTTTTATAGGATTCTATTTTAAATATTCCAGTTTTGCACCTTTTATGACGCAGCTGTGGCTTTTCTAATCATTTAATAAATAATGTGGTAACTGGGGTTGCCCAGCAATTTGAGTTTAAACTTGCGGTTAACAGCATGTTGCTTGGCAACTTACAAACAGCGTTTCTTTGCAGATCAGGTAAAATGCCTACATTTATCCCCACACACAATACCTTCTAGGGCACTAAAGGGTCTTGCTTTGGTTTTGGTCTTGCTTGCATATCAACGAGTTCTACAGCCTTGTTTGTGACACATTAGGAAGTTAGGGGTAAGCTTTCCGTTGAATATTTGATAGGTACCTACCTAGCTGGGTAGGTGGTAAGTACTGTGTGTACTGTGTAGGTATGTGTTAGGTAGGTAGGGCACCTAGCTACTTGAAGGGAATAGCTCACTCTTCCGATTTTTTTTTCAATGGATTTATGATATTTATGATAAAAATTATCAGAAATAGAAAAGAATCTTTTGATAAAAAGGATTATATTCTATATTTTAGTATAGAGAGAACTATATTCTATGTAAATAACGTTTCACGCAGAAGCTAATTATGCATTAACCAATCATATTGCATAGTTCAATCCTATTAAGCAGTATGCTTATTGGCTGATGATGATGTGGCTGCATTCCCCAGCAAGGCATACATTCCTCTACAAGGCACTCTTTACGGAACAAGAAACGGAATATCTTCGTCTAGGGTGATTGTGGGCTGTTAAAGCTCCTGATTTGTGCTAGTCTCAGCTCAAGCTATGGAACTGCTATTCCAGTTCAAAATCCTATGCCAAAAGTGAACTATTTCCTTAAATAGCTGACCATGCTAGTTTTGGGGTAACTTCTGTGCCAATGGGCAGGTAATAAATTAAATTTTTAAGTTACCATTGAAGTAATCATATATGTATAAGCTTTAATTGTCCATGGTCCAAAGCAAGCTCTTCATATAATCATTTCAAAGATTCGCTTCACTATTCCATTCCCTTCCTTATTTTCATTTTTATGTTCAATGATATTAATGTTAAGGAAAAATATTTTTAGCATGACTGCAGCTGATTGATTTGTTTCCTGTTTCCAGCATACCAATTACCAATGCTGGCAATTTAGTATGCACAAAGCATAGCACCATCTCATTCATTTTGCTGACATTTATTGACACAATATGACAAATGATTTACACTTGCAGTCATGAACCCAACAAGCAATACACTGCACCAGCCTCGCATGACTTAGCATTATTGTATACAGTTACCACGCTGGTATTCACATGTGAACCTACATAACAGTGCGTAGGCTCCTCATATTATTCTGAGGAACAGAAAGCAACATGTTGCGACACCTTGTGACACTGGCAGGTCCCGGCCATGACACGGATTGGGGACATCTGTGTAGTGTATAGGACATTTCACATTCTGTCATGTCCCACAAGTCGTCCTGACAATAGTTAGCCGTATATGGTGGTAATGTGGCTTTGCAGACTGACCAGGGACGTTTGAGCCCTTAAACGATAACAGTGAACAGCACAGATGTTCCATTGAATTGGCGCAGCACAGATGGTTAGGGACATCAAGCGCGCTGCAGTGCTCTTAGCTCGAGGCACTCGAGGCTTTGCGGTAATGGAAGAAAATCTGCCTTGTTGAGAGGTTTTATGATGTTTGCTTATGAATGTGGGAATATTTACGAAGGGGCGTGGGGTATCATGGCTACTCGGTCCCATCATATTCACCATGGTCATAAGCTGTCAGTGTCCTTTGTCGACAGTACCGATGCTTTGCAACTAAGGGGATACAATGTTGTAACATGGATATACAAACAAAATGTCGGGTCTTTACCGAACATTGGCATGCATGGGTATTATGGCTCAAAGTGAAACATTGAGCATAAAACCATAACACCATTAGTCCAGTCTATCACAGATTTGCAAAAAAAAAAATCACAAACATGACTGCATTGAAAAGAAACAAAAACACCCATACGAAGTCCTCAAAACCGACTAAATGAGACTCCAGTTCGAATACAGTCCCCTCCGATTAAGTTATCCGAGAGCATTCCACACTCGCTCAACGTCACGGCAACTTTCTGCACTGAGCTGAGAGCATTTGACAGCGTGGGACAACGCAGGTTCAGTCGGTCACAGAGCTCGCCATCCTCGTCGACTAGCGGCCGCCGCGCCAACTGGAGTTACATGTGACTGACGTAACGCTGACAGTGGCGCCACCGTCGCCGCCTACACGGTCACCTCGTCGCCGACACCGGCGGACTCGGCGACCGGCGTCCGCCCGCGGACTCCCACCGGAATCTGGCGGCGCACACAGTTCGGCTCGAACACGCTGCGCGCGCTCTCAAATTTGCGCGCAAAGTCCACAGCGGCGCGTGGCGGAGTGGCCTGGCGCGCGGCGTCCGACGCGGCGGGCGTCACGGTGGCCGGCTGGGCGTGCACCAGGTCTCCCGCCTCACTGGTCTCTGCCGCGGCGCACTGTCCGGCCTCAGCCGGCAGCGTCTCACTGTTCTGCTCGGGCGCGCCGACCGCGGGTGCGGCTGCGCTCTCCTCCGGGGGACACTGGCGCTCCTCCTCTCCCGCCTCCTCCGCACGGTCCTCCCCCTCCTCCTGCCGCGGCTCTGTCCGATCGAGGCTCGGCGAGTCGGGTCGGGACGCCGGACCGGCGGCGGGCGCGCCGTCCGGGTGCGGCGCGCCCTCCGCTGCCGGAGAGGTCGGCCGCTCGGTCGGGTCTCCCTCACTGGTGGCGGTCTCCTCGGTCAGCCGCCAGACGTCGTAGCAGCCCGAGTCGCGGATTAGCTCCGAGAGCAGCGGCTGGCTGAAGTCGCACAGTGGCTCGGCGCCGTACGCGTCTGCGGACGGTGAGACGGTGCACGTCAGTCGGGCTCGACAAATAGACACAGCTGGGCTATTATTATCATTACATCATTAGCATTATCGGGAACATCATTAGCAGCAGCAGCACGGGTGGACGCGCTCAGCGCCTTATTCTGTACAAGGTGGTAGGGCTTCGGGTGTTCTCACACAGGTGTACAGCGGTTTTACGAACTGTCAGAGGCAGAGCTTTCTGATATGTCGTGCGTTGTATTCGTTTTCACCGACGAAGGCATTCCCTGGCCCAAACGTCCGGTAACAAAGGATTGCTTTTGTCGTCTTCGGGCAGATGCATTATGCATATTATAATATGCATAATGCATCTATACCTCATATTCTATAGAATATGAGGTATTTCACTGATGCTACATATGGTTGACAAAATGTTATCAAACTACCAGGAGGTTACAAATTAATGCGAAATAAGGTTTACGACTTGGGAGGCTGACATTAACTGTCGATTAATCTCACAGACCCGGAACACCATGCACTGCCGTTTAACTGGGTGGGGTGCCTCAGACCGCGATAATATGACGCTGGGGCGAGCGGTAACGAGCTTATGATTGGTGGTATACCTACCTACCCAGTGACGCCCTTTCGCACGTTCGCCCGCCTAATGAAGTCGCCCCTGAAGTTGTGTTGCGCAACGCACGGATTATTATCTTGTAGCGCATCTTAATGTTGTAAAATATCCCATCAACGAATAACTGGTGCTTTTGCGGGAGAGAATTCACACGAATAGTATTCCATCGCTTCACTCCCAAGATAAAAGATAGTGGGTATAATAATTGTTCAGTATTGTTAGACATATTTATGAAATCAGTTGGCCATCATATTTCATAAAGTGGGTGATAACTAGATAAAACATCGCGCTTGTATCGCCTAGCTTTTTTAATCATGATCAGTTTTCGTTTAAAATGCACAAATTATGCCATTTGATATTTACATACAACTTCCATCTGAATGCGTTTAGTTGCAAGGGCAAATTGTAGCTCGACTCTCGTACGAGTCGTCAATGCACTTTTTTCGCCGGTCCAGTTAATGTTGCCAGTTGCAAGTCCTTTCGTATGTCTTTGTCCCCCGAGGAGGCCTGAGAAACTACTATATAAAGGACAAGCAACGCATAAGCTTTTGCATTTAATGAATGTCTTCATTATTTATTCATGAGTTGGCGCACCGTTCTCAGCCAATTAGCCTGTTGTTACATTGGCATAATCGCACGTCTGTCAGTTCTGACCTCCGCTACCTCGGCTTTAAGCTGTCTTACCTGGACTGAGGATTGGCAGTCGGAGGTAAAACCGATAAAAAGATTAACATATAGATTGCACCGCATTACACGGATGTCTCTCAGCCCACTATGGTTTTACATAGACTTGGTATTGGCAGTCGGGAACTTTTTCGACGGGCAAAACATCTACCAACTTTCCGACTAAGCTCGCACGCTGCCACCGAAACGCTCGCTGCCACCGCTCTCGCACACTGTGCGGTACTTTTTACTACACAGTGCAATTCTAATTTGCCAATTTCCATCAGACCGTACACCCTGCGCGCCACTCCCGGCCGTTCTTGGGACTAGCCGCCACCACTGATTGGACAGAGCATTACCGTTTCCTGAGTCACACAGTTCGACGCACGGACTGTTGGATAAGGTGGTGAGCTTGGGCCTTGTATGGGGTAGTGAGCGATTCGCCGGGGATGGGGTCAAAGGGCGACGCGAACTGCAGACCGCGGAGGCTAGGGAGACATGGTGACAACCGTGACAAAGTCACAAAACCGTGCCACCGACCGCCAGAGGCACGAAGTCGCGGGGTGTGAAGGATATGACCCAGACGAGGTCAAGTGTAGGTAGGCACTCTCAAGAAAAAAGGGGCCAATTGCCTACATAGCTAGCTCCAAAAAACTTGCCTATTTCGCCGGAACATTATCGTTTTAAGTGCGTAACGTGATACCATCAA